TATATATATATATATATATATATACATACACACGATGGATTCTGATACGCGCGCTGCAACACTTGTCACGAAGCAACTGCATTGTCGTTCGCGTGATTTTCATTACGTTTACTAGCGATGTTATCGCAGATTATCAAGTCACGTGCGTGATAGTTGTGAGCTGGAGTCGCGATTGTTATAATCATGCAAGCAGCATGTGGATCGGAAATTGTAAAATACTTCCATGAAATATCGCTTCTACGTTTAGACGGACTTTACATTATGTGATAATGCATAATTTCAGCTAATTATGAGCACAAAACGGATGCTAGACTGATAGTAGTGTAATGGTTGATATTTTAACTCGAGTTAGATTACATTATATTAAGATTGATCTCTTCTTTTTTTGTTAAATTGTATCATGGATAAAAAACTGATTTTACTTTTGGAAGAATAACATACTTATCATGATTTTGTTATTTGTAGCAGTAGATCGCAAATGACTACAATGAATGGGAAGAGGCCCTCCTCATTACCCTCTAGACATCAACCAGAAACATTGGCACAACACTTTGACTTGATCAAATATATATATGATTGTAAGTGCTATATAAATGTGCTATTTGAATAATTGGAATACATTTTTCTGAAGCTTTACTTTTTGTTTAATATCCATTTTATTTTTTTAGCATGGAATTCTGTATCTAGAGAACTAGATATGTGTCACCAATCAACCACACAGTAATCCCTCCAGTTATGAAATGGAGCATCAGTTACATATTATCAAGAGCGTGAACCAAATCCACAGTTGAAAGGTAAGCACGTTTTGCTTCCTATTATTTGAAAATAATTAACATTTTTGATTTAATTACAAGGACTTCCACAAATTATTCCCTTTTTGTATCTGTGGAAATGTTGGTGTGTGTGTGTGTGTGTGTGTGTGTGTGTGTGTGTGTGTGTGTGTGTGTGTGTGTGTGTGTGTGTGTGTGTGTGTGTGTGTGTGTGTGTGTGTGTGTGTGATAATCGGAGATTAATTTCTATCATTTACAATTTAGTTGTTTTGTTTTATTATATTATTTTGTATCATTCTTTGTATAATCTTTATTTTAATACTTATTATAAAATGGATATTTAAAATGTATTGCATTTCACATCTTTTACAGATTTCGAACCATTTAATTTGGAAGCATGGTGGGGACAGCGTGTTGTGCAAAGTATTACTAGGAATGCAAATTCCTAGTGCCAGGCCCAACACGCTGATTACAATCGGACATTTTCAAACAGACACAAGAAACAAAAAAGATAAATTACAGATTGAAATTTAATCTCCATTTTTATTTAAAATGCGTTTTATGCTTAAAATTGAGAAATACTTTAGGCCAGAACTGAAATTCATGCACAGAACAGTAGTACACAAAGATATAAGCAAGAAGATTTAAACATTAAGACAATCGAACAATAAAATAAAATATTTAAAGTAGCAGCCTTATGTTCTTGCAAAATTTTTATTGCGATTGATCGATTTACTTAATGCTTAGATTTTACTGCTTATGTTTTTATGCGAAAGTAAGAGAACGATAGGTGTGTAAGAATTGCAACTAAATTCTGCTTTAGATATGTGACATACGTATTTATCTGATTAACAATTTTTTAATCTTTTAACGAAAGAAGAAAAGAAGGGATAAACTATAATGGCATAAATGTAACAGAAATTTGCTATTTACATTAAAAATTATTTAAAGTGAATAGCAAATAGTAAAGAGAAAAATACGACAGCTATATAGATGCGTACATTGCTGTACAATAACATTCCTCTTATGATTATATTTTAACGAAATATACTATATAAACTTCTTTTAATTTTTAAAAAAATATATTAATCAGGGGTCAGAGATAAAATTTTTTGTTTGTACCATTGTAAAACTGAAGAGAGACGTTTTATAATTAAGAAAGTTATGTCGCATTATTTATTTTAGCCATTAAATAATACACGATATATAAATATATAATATAACACTCTTTATATATACAATTATACATAATTTATATAAATTATATAAATTTTATATGTGTATATATAAAATTTATATATAATATAAATTTATAAGACATAGTAGAATATTTACACATTATTTAAAGAGAAACTAAATTATATGTTTTTTTTTATCTTCTTGCAATGTTGGGCGAAATAAGTTTGCTGCTCAACAATACACAAAGCATTTACAGAGTACTCAAGCTTGTTTGATAAAAATTTCATAGACGAATTTTAGGAATTGTATTTTAGGATATACACGTAAATGTACTTTTTCACATGTTGCATTTCACATTTCCAAGATTTTTCATTCTTATCATCCATAAAATGACTGCACTTTTTAGCTAAATAGCCATACGTAAATTATAAATAAAACCGTTTTCCACTTGTTGAAGGAGATTTTATCAACTACATCATAGACACTGTACGTGAAATTATTAATCGCAATGTGAAATAGCATAATGATTATTGCGATTTTAAATATACGATATATATATATATATATATATATATATATATATATATATATATATATCTTATATTGTATATGTATGTACATCTCTATGCGTGTATAGTTACATGTAAGTTTTAATCAGATAATGTTTTTAATGACGAAACAATAATGAGCAATGTCTTTCTACATATGAGTGAAAATTTCTTTCCTTTCTATTTTCTCTGATCATTCTATTTTATATAAATCCCATATTGTAAGAAAAAAAAATGTGTTGTTGGCTATATAAAATAGTAATTTTGCGGTAAAAGATTTTGACGTTTTAATGCAATTTTAATGCTTTCATTAAAATACAGTACATGAGAGTTGGCAATAAATTTGTGGTCAATTGATATCTAGTGCACTAGGTCAAGCTTATACGATGGGACATACGAAATTCCTGGGAAACGATGAATTCTTCGAGTGCATTAGGTTTCTGACGCGGTAACTATTCGCGTGACATTTCACAAATGGTATGTGAGGTATAATGGGACTATCGATAGCTGTCATACCAAAGAGACACTAGCGAATTCTAGATTTTTTTTAGAAATAATTCTAAGTTGAATATATACATATATACATAATATATTTTTATTAAATTTTTTATTGGACAATTATACCAATTTATCACCAATTAGTGAAGAAAGTTTTATGGTATACATTAAGACTTTTTATATAATACTTTTTAAATGAGAATTTATAATAATTATTATTTCAATTAAAAATTTAATTAAATTAAAAATCCATGAAGACGGAATCCTAAAAAATAACATCGGAAATTGTATCCATTACGTGATTCAACATGAATCGAGTTCGTACTTAATACAGAATACAATTGAATTTAGTGTTTAATTTTTAAATTGAAAGAATAAAGTTTGCTTTATGTATTTTCTTTCAATTTTTTATATCTCAAGAGTAATAAAATTACATATTAAATATTAATAAACGAACAAGATGAGTTGTCATACTTTTTATGGTAGTGTAATTTTCACGATTTATTAAGAAAACACAAGAAAAAAATTAAAGAAAATTCATAAATCACACAATTCGATATTTCGTGAGGCGTATAAAAATGCTCTAATGCTCAAATGCTCTAAAAATACAAATTACAAATTACAAATAAATTTATCGTATATATAAATTTCATCTTTTAAACAAACTAGATTTAACATAGTTAATTTATCGATATTGTTTAAAAAAATACAAGGTGCAGACTGTCTACAGCAGGGCTGGCAAAGCGTAGCTCGCGAGCCATCCCCTTCATCGAACGTCCCTTCCAACTCGATTAATCAATCGATTTCAGTGATGGCTGTCAGTCGCGATGATATGGGGCCTACTTCCCATAAATTATCCAAAATTTCGATACAAAATTTCGCTATACAATATGTAGCCAAGTCGGTCGTATTGAAAATAAAAATAAGTCAGCACGTCATACGCGCGCGAGACCGACCGTGTATCTTGAACAGTTTATGATCGGCCGATGAATCGAGTTGAAGAGGATAGCGTTCGATTAGGGGATGGCTTGCGAGCCATGCTTTGCCAGCCCTGGCCTACAGTATAAGCTCATTCGTAAGATATTAAATATTTCTTGAATACGCGCTGAATCTTTCGCAAACTGGCTACGTGATATCCGACACAATATAGTAAATAAGTGCTGGGTCAACCATTTGTTTTGGTAGGAGAGTCGAGCATAGCATAGCGTGTTATTTGTATACACAAAGGTGCCGCGCTACCATTTACGCGCCGGGACTCGAACAGGCAGGCAGCAGAGCGCGTTGTGTCGTGTGTCGTCGTATTATCTTTTAAGATACGACCGCACGAAAGTATAATTCCTTTTTATTAATTATTACTAATCTCATTTACATCACTTACTCTACATTTATATAACTTTAATGATTTATTTTACTCTGTACTATAATTCTTGGAACTAAAGAAAGATATGAAATAAATTAAACTGACAATGAGATTAAAGTGTACGAGATTAGTGCAGATAGAAATAAACAATAATTGATTCCTCGATGCTCTTCAGCATCTCATCCATTTTGTCATCGTTGCTAATGGAACGTCGCTGAATGAACTTAATCCAGATCGAGAAGCTTATGCATGTTTGATTAGTAAGCTATTCGTTATCGACTCCTGTGTATCTAATCGTATCTCTATATCGAATAATCGCGTAGCGCTAGTCGAACTTGATCAAGATCAATCTCAAACGCAAGTAAAGACAAAGCGATGATTATTTCAATTATTTTATTATATAGATGTTTATCTTCGATGTTTATTTTCATAGATTTATTTGTCGTTTATTCGCAAGCAATACATATCGGTACACATTGATAAATTATTGGTCGACCTAGTTGCCTGATTTACTAACAAATATTGGTGGCTCTTGTCACCATTATGTCGTTAAAACGAATACTTTATAAAACGCGACAGTTGCTCCTGGCGCATGAAATTATCTATATGATTTACGAATTTTTGCCGTTATATTTAATTCATCTGTTGCGCTTAAAATAAAATTATGTGATATCACGCACGAGTGCCGAGCGAATTATAACTTTGTGAGTATTTTTTTGTGCGTTATTCTTTCGCGGTAACAAAGCGCGCGATGCGTCGTAAAATACCGAATACCGGAGGTGCCATGCAAAGTGTCGTGCGACCACAATCTGCGATGTTTCGTGAAGAAAAGTTGCGAATAAGTACCAACAAAGGAACGATAACAGAGGAAAGGAAGGAGGAGAGGACCTTGGAGGCACCGCTAGGACGACCGTAAGGTGAGTAATGATTATTTATTTATTATTTGCTACTCACTGGTAAATTGCCACTTTAAGATTCTTAACAACTCACAACTCGTTTCTCATTTCTTTCCGCAATATCGTTATCTCGGACGCTTTAAAGTTTTCGCGGCTTACTGTGTTTATCCTGCATATAACGACGTCAGAGAAGTAGGAAAATGTAATGAAAATTCTTGCAAAGTATTATAGATCAAAATAGGAATGTTTTTGACAAAGCGACATTTACAATCGATAGAATAGACTTGCAAAATATGCCAAAAATGTCCGTAATTTCAATGCATTTAACAAGTCTATTTTATCAATTGCAAACATTGTTTTGCTGAAAAATATTTCCATTTTAACGTATTTTGGAATAATTTTCATTACATATCTTTTCATTTCTAACGGCACCAATCCAAGATGATTGTGATGAATCTTAATGAAAAATTTATTATTAGATATGCAGCACATCGCATCGACGGAAAAAATGCGAACAGTGAAATGAAATCCGTGATAATATTGATTATTACTCTCGTAATAATATTTGATGAATTTTCTATAAATTGATTTTGTGTGTATGTAATTAAATTGTTGGAAATTAACGATAATAATAGGCCGATGTAATTGAAAGCGCTATCATTTTTTGAGCAGTTTTTCATTAAATATCCATTTGAAAGAGGAACAGAAAATAAAATGTATGCAGTAATTTTTTAAAATACTAATTATTTTGGGCATTACTTTAATTTCAATCGTTTGTATTTTATAGATTAATGTAATATAATTATAATACCGTTACCATGGATTGACTCGTAATTATTAAGTTATGAAATTATCTATTACATATATTTATTAAATTATTTTTCCTCATAATTCCGAGACAATGGATTTTAGCTCGTATAATCTTATAAATATATATATATATATGATACATACATGATATATACATGATATATAGATGTAAAGTATTGTATTTATTAAAAAAGAAGCTGCGGAAAATTATAAAATAAAATCATTCTTTTCTAATAATTGTTAGTAATTTATATAAAGATTTTGATTTGTTATAATTATAAATATTAGAGGAGGAGGATATTAATATATTACCTTAATAATTATTATGTGTTTATAGAAAAAACTAAAATTAAAAGAATATTACAAATATAACATATTTATTAAAAAGAATATACTTGGTACGATGATGCTGCTCTATTACTTTATAAATCTTTGTTTTTATTTTTTTTTCCTCCAAATGGAAATGAGTTAGACTTGAAACGAGAATTAATGTGTATGACATGAAATTCAACAATTTCATTGTGAAATCAAATCGATGAAAAATTTTTTATTTCGATTGTATCAGAGTTAGTTATTAAATTATTTAATATTGAAATATATTCCAACGTAGTATATTAAAAATAATACAGATAGAATATTGGATAATGAGATATTCATTTCGACATAAAAATTCAGTTTGCTATTGCGGATTGTAATAATATCGACGGCTCCGGATTTCATGTCATCTCTCATCACTATAATATATCACAACTACATTATGATAAATAATTAATTGAAGTTTTTTTCAATAATTTATGACTTGCTGATTTGACATTGTCACTCTTATTATATTAAGTGCATTTAGTTTTTATGTCTGTAAAAGTTTG